CAGGAATGTTCTCTTGTACAAGTATCCACACATTTGGCCACAGCACTGTGAAAACATTTCCATGTCTATGTTCAGCCATCTATACATTCAAGTATTTTAAAATGTTAGTGTTCACTTTGAATGGATCGTATTATTAATAGCCCCTTCTCTTCCCCTAATTTTATATTTTCATATTTAAAAAATGCTTTCCTTTATTTATCATTAAATTCACCTCCCAGTAAGAGTCTGCATAAGGGAATAAAATAAGTCTTCAGAGCCTTCTACAATTAGCATACCCTCATCATGCTCCCGTAATTATCTCCCCTGAGAGTGCGGCTGGGATGCCACGCTGCTCTCATCACTACAGCGTTCCCATGGGGGAGATTACAGGCAAAACACCCAGATTACTCCGACGCCACGTTCACCGTGCGTACACCATTGATCTCCCAGTCTTTCTCCATTGGACTCCAGCCAACAAGTCGCTTACCAGCACCCCAAACCAGCACAGCCGTGTTTGTCGCAGGCCATCGATGGCAGGTCAGAACGGATTAGCACGAAACTGGTTATTTACAGGGAGGAAAAATTCTGTGGTGAATCAGTATTGCTCAGAGAATACAGGCACTAAGCTGCTTAGGAGGCACCAGGGAGAAGGGTGTTTGGGTGTGTTAAGGGGGTTTCGCGCATGGTGCTTTTGTTCCTTTTTCTTCTCTCCTTTGCTACTTCCCCCACAATTTACCCAAGAAAAGTCAATCAATATTGTCTTCATTCCCCATTTAATGCTCCTTCTCTACCTGCAGGACTCCTTTGGTACATTACTCTCCTAGTCCCAGAAAACGCTTGACCCCTTTCCCGGGTCCCTAACGCCCTTTTTATTGTCAGGTGGCATAAAGAAGTCTGTAGACCAAGTTAAAGTTCTTCAGTCCATTCTATCAAAAAATGATGTAAGTTTTCTAATTTTAAAATTCAGTATCCCAGTTCTCAGCTGTGCTAAGCCTCTCCACACTATTATCCCAGAGATCGCTTCAGAAAACTGTAAAAAAAATGGATACAACTCCAACGTTACCCACCCCACTTGGCCTAACGCGTCTAGAAAGGAAAACAGCCCTCTTAAAATCTCAGCAGTTTCTATCAGCTGTAGATATTTCTGAGAAGCAGGAAATTGGGGTGCTAGGCTCTCACCCAGGATTACCTCGTGAGGCACTACAACTCCCTGCTTGGCTTATACTGAATGGGCATCAGTCATAGCCGAATTTCAGGACTGTAGGCTTGATAAATCATGACTAACACTACATTGTATTGCGGTAACCAACTGTTTATTTCACAGTTGCCAACGTTATGCAACTCCTCAGAAATTTTCAGAAAAACAGATGTGTGGTACACAAAATGTGGGATAGCCTCCTGTATCAAGCTCCATGCAGTAACTTCTGATCTCCGATCTTCCAGAGAGCGTCTCCAAAGCCCACTGAAGTTGACAGGAGCGTTTCTGCTCACCTTTTGATGAGGGAGATGGATTTAAGCACCCTATTTATTGGAGAAGTACTTGAACGCAATCCCATCAGACATTCCCATGTGATGTCTTTCAATATTTAAACAATTTAAGAGTATAAGGAATGAACATTTCCAAGTTGTAGGGAGTTTATAAGAAATTCTGTTCAACAGAGAAGATCGTTTTCTCTTCTGTTCTTTGTTTTCCTTAAAACAGTTGCACAGGAGAAAAATCCATGTTCCACCACAGCAGGTACTTACTGGCCTACTGATCGATATATGATTTACAAAACCAATTTTCATTTGTTGTCAATATTTTTGATTTTTTAAAAATTTATTCATTTCTTTTCTATGCTATTTTTGTACATTCATAAAAGCCCAATAATAGCTTATACCTAGGACTACTCCTAAACCTGCTGAAGTTCATCATCCTAAACAAGGATTGGACAGAGCTCTACCTAGAAAGGAACAGAATATCCATGCCTCCGTGTATGTGCATTACTGTTACGAAATATGTATTTAAAAGCCAATGCCACAGCTTCAGTTTAAGAACACGTGCACTGACGTACGGGTACTCTCATCCTTGCTACTCACACGAGTACCACAGCACAAGCCAGAAGCAGGAGGTCCTTAGTAGTCTCAGTGGTCTAGGAAAGGTAGTAGCCTGCAGCTTGAGTTCTCAGTTGTCCTTAGAGATAAACAAGCCCCAACAGTTCTAATTATTTCCTCATACCATCTCTTTCCCCAGTACACATGATTTAGGCTGGAATTGCTGTACATTTTAAGAAATTGTAGAAGAAGATCCAAGTTCTGTCAGACTATCAGAGGAAGAAACGGTCCATAAAGCTTGTGAGTGTTTCCAACACCCAGTGGGTTGGGGTGGGATGGGTACACCAGACTACCAGTCTGTGTGCAATACCCCTTTGGCATGGAAGAGCTGATCTGAAACCCAGCTGCGCACATGCAGCAGCGGCCTCTCAGACTCAGGACAGCGGATGCAAAACCTGCCGCAGGTGCGTCCAGCCTTCGCGCTCGAGCAACGAAAAATAAGAGATGAGTGGATTTTGTAGATGGAAACTCAGGGCGCTTGCCTGCTGATCGGTATTTCTGCACCAATTCACGGCTTGGCTCACGCTGGCTCGGGGGAAGTTTGCTTTGATTCAAAGTAGTAGTGTGGCTGGAGCGGTGAGGAAGATGATTTTCACAGCGGCATTTTGCAGAGATGGTGAAGTAAAGGAGTGCTTCCAACACGGGAAAAGCAGCTGCAATTTAGCTCCCTACTGTTGGTCGGAATGTTGCCTGGTACAGTGCAAACACCCTACCAGAAATGGTAAATAATAAAAGCGTAAAAACGGTAGAGAAGGGATCGCCAGGGTCCGAGTCCTCAGTGCCAAACTGCCGGCCGACGCCTCGCCCTCCCAGGCGCTGGAGCCGGGCTCGGCCGTGCCCCAGGGCTCTGCCCCGGCCCTGCGCGGCAGCCATCTTCCCCCGGGCCTGGCCCCGGCCTCGGCCGCGGGCCGGGCGGAGGAAACCACCTCCCGGGCGAGGACCTGCCCCTCAGGCGGGCAGCGCGGCGGCCGGCGGGCCCCCCCCCGCCCTCGGCCCC